CTCCTCGATGTGTAAAAGTTTTAGTTTCCTGCCGAATCAGCTGGTTTACTGAGCACTGGCCCTGATATCCTATTTTAGGGCCCATTCACACTATCCAGTGCATTCATCGTACAGTATCGTGCCATGAACGCACTGGATCGCAAACAGGAAGCCTCCCAGCGTTCTGGGGTGGGGGGATCACACTGCCCTGCGTTCCAGAGCAGTGCGATCTCACAAAATTGTGCGTGCACTATTTTTCGGCAATCACACTGCACGTGAACGCAGGGCATTGCTGCACCACTCGTTCTGATGCAATCACACTGTGGGTAGGAGGCATGTCTGTCACTGGCACCACCATGCCCCCTCCCACCCCAGAACGCAGGAAGGCTTTGTGTAAGCGATCTAGTGCGTTTATGGCATGGTATTGTGTGATGAACGCCCTGGATAGTGTAAATGAGCCCTTAGGGTGGTTCCTTTCTCTTGCAACATCCTGTAGAGCCACCTTTGTGTGTACTAGTAAGCTGTGTGTGTCTCCACAAACACACAGGCACAGCAAGACAAGACACTCTCCTGCACCCTGCTCCCCACTCCTCTATCCTCCCTTCTCTAAGCTAGTAGATGGATCTGCTGGACACTTCTCTGTCCTTTGTGATGTTGGGCAGGAAGTTCAAGGAAAAGAGAGTTGAAGCTGTTCGGAAACATGATGAGTGTTAGAGTTTGGGTAAAAAGGGCAATGTATATTTGATTGATCTGGATTCATTATTGAAAATAAGATTGAGAGTTGAATACTAGTTTAAACAATCTGGCAGTAATCAGTGAGCTCTTTCTTTCAGTTTCTAAAAAAAACGCACTTGGAATGTATGCCACGAAGTGATTTCAGCTACCTGGTTCACATTTTGTAGATTTGCCACCAAAAAAAAAGATATCCAACACTGTGGAATGAAAATGATGGCGTTCAGCTTCCTGTGCATGCTGCGTTGATGACTTCAGAATCTTGTGTGCCCTGTTTATTACTTGTGTAAACACTCCTCTGGAAAGGGAAATCATAGCTCAGAATGGGATTCTGTCTGACATCGGACAGCAGAGGAAATCTCAGTCAGCAGATGAATCGTTGATTAATGAGTACGAGGAAATAAAATATAGAATTCCCAGAATCTGTGGACGGTTGTGATGACTTAACATCAGGTCTGATGTACAGGGAGTGTGTCAAATGTACGGTGTTTAGCCTTTTTATATGCACTTTGGCATTTCACTGGGTACCAATCGAAAACACATCATTCGTGTTTGTTATAATTATTTCTATTGTGTATTTTTGGTGTGCTTTCAGACCTACATAAGCTCATTACAATCTTGCAATCAGCCCACTTTCTTCTGCATTGTTATAAAGAAGACTTGTTTTTAAGTAAAATAGAGGTTTAGGAGGAAGTGAGTGGAGAATCTAAATATTGCACAACTTTGTGGCCTTAAAGTTTACATCAGGGTAAATAATTTTAAAAAAAAGAACATATGCAGTACATCTTGGCAATGCATGCACATCTTCCCAGATTTTATCTCTTTAAAGACCCTGCAAGTACAGAAAAATACCTGTTGATCTGCCAAAAATGCAGCCAGCTATAAACCTGTTTTGGGATGATATCACACAGCATTTTTGTGGATGGAGCAGTGTCAGCCATGCCCAGTTTCTTTTGCTAAACTGCTCACCCCTTTTTTTCTCAGCACCTTCACAGTGATCTGTTTTTATTGAAAGACTTGGGACTGAAATTTGAGAATTGTATTTCTCTCATTTACTTAATTAACATACAGTTAATAACGAAATACTTTGTGAATAAATCCCTGTTTCCTCGATAATACTGGTCTGTGTGCAAGCGCATATGCTGAGGTCGGCAAATTCAACTACGTTGGCGTGCTCGACAGACCACCGGTATCTGCGCTTAGTATCGGGGCATTTTCACGAGTATGAGTACTTGGGAAAATGCCCATTATTGGCAGTGCTGTATCCCTACTTAAAAATATAATGCATGGCTGGGACTTGTAGTCCTACATAGTTGGAGCTATTCTGCATTACTGTATAATCATCATACAGCAATGCAGTATACCACCAGCTATGCGGTAATACAAGTCCCAGCAAAACATTATAATAAGTCAGCTATGCAGAATGCCACCAGCATCCCCCCACCACTATAATGCATTGCTGGGACTTGTAGTCCTACATAGTTGGAGCTATTCTGCATTACTGTATAGTCATCATACAGCAATGCCGAATACCACCAGCAATGCATAAAAGTGAGCACTATATCACCAGCATCCCACACACACACACACACACACACTTCCTCGCACTTTAAAGTCTCTTGTGATCTCTGGGGATCTCTAAGAAGGAATTACTACACAGTACTTGCAGCTACAGAGGTTAGTGAGGGCTCATTTCAAAGTGTTTCCACTGCTTGTTAAGAATATAGAAACACATTAATGCTCAAGGTCTGCATACGGGTGCACTTTATTCATTTTTTGTTTTGATGTCCATATGTACATATTTTCTCCAGAAACAGCTTTTTGGGCAGTTGCACACATTTACCTATGCACTTATATTTTTTCTTCCTTCTTGGTCTCATGGAACACAATGTCACATCGGTTCAAGGAGAGGTGACATGTGCACAGCAAACTTATTGCCAAAGCTTTCCAGAGGTGTGGGGTCAACACAGTTGTTTAAAAACATGTTCCAATACCTCCCAAAAGCCTGATTCCAAGTCTGTTTGGCATGGAAATGCAAATTCCTGCTCATCAGCTCTATTTTATAGTTCTTTTAAGCAAACTCTGCAAGTTTTAAACTGTGAAGTCACCATATTTTCCCGGCTGCCAATTTTTTTTCCCCCTCTGCAAATGGCACCATCTTAACAGCAAAATACAGAGAACTGTGATGATTACAACACTTTAGAGGGGTAGAGGGGGGGGGGGGGGGTTTTGTGGACCCC